ACAAAAAAAAAATTGCAACTTCTATTTACAACTGAACAATTTGTTGTGAAATCAATTTTTCAGGGATGTATTTATAATTTCGATCACAAATTTATAATTCACAATCATGTGAATTTTTTTTAAAAAAGATAGAGGTAGGCACAAGCAAAGATTAGTTAATCAATTAGATTAGATGGTAATCAAACTAAGCAATGGAATAACTTTTTCAAGCACTTCTCCTTAATCCAAATTAATTAATTATGCCACCTTACATTTATTTCATTTCAAAATAATCAATATCAGGTTGGATTGATTTTCGAATCTAAATCTCAGCTTAATTTAATCCAAGTCATTCCGTACTATTTAAAACTCGTGTAACTTTTTTGATTAGGTTGCTTCACATGAAAATTGGGATTTAAACTTTCAACCGATTGCTTAAGTGATGAAAGCCTTTATCACACACGCTATCCTGAATTGTTCTTTACTAAAAATATTACTTCTTATTCTTAATACAAGACTTAGTTGACTAATTTAAATAGATTAAAAAATTAATTAACTTAGTTATTTATAATAAATAAGTGTTGTTTTTCCTAAAATACCTTTGATAATTATGTATATTAGTTATAACTTCTATTTGATGAAACCTTTAATATGTGCAACTACTACAAGGAGTACCTTAAAAAAATAGATAAATATGTGAAAAAAATAAATTATGATCTTATATTTAAAACCAAATTAAATGTTAAACTAGCTCTTATATTAAGAGTAGGAGGTAATATTTATTGGTTTTTACTAACGATATTTATTGATAATAGTTACTAAGTGAAATTTTTTACAAACTTGTGGATTATGAATTATTTATGAATAAATGTAGTTGTTCATCAAGTTAATACTTTCAGTTTTTTTATTTGAAGTATTGAATGTAATTTATCTCAATTGCGAATTACGATATACATTTACCTATATTTGTCTTTGGAACCAAATATTTTTTTCTATTTTTTTAAAATACGACACGTAAATCAATCTTCAAACAATCTTCTATGCCCATTAGTTAACTTTTGATAATCCAATTTAAAAAACTCACGCTGTCTCATAAATTATATTGTTCAATCTCTTTGTAAGTAATTAAAGACATCTACTAATAAGTCTTGAAATAAAAGACTCTCCCTTTCACTTTTTTGAAATTTTTTTAATTCAATTATCCATTAATGGTAACTCAAATAGTTAAAAGGGTTAAAATTAGAGAATTAGATCTCATACTACTCATTTTCATTATTGACTGTCAATATTTGATTGGATCAAACCCAAGGCAGGACAAGATGTGCTTAAGTTTGACTAAGATTGATTGATTGACCATTTTTATTGATCCCATTATGAATTAAAAAAACAAGAAGAAAGATGGGATCTTGATGCCTTCGTTTTAATTAAAAAAAAATCAGTATAATTTTGTTTAAATTAATTCCCTTTTATTGATTTAATGTATTTAACATTTTTATATCAATCAAAGCCAAGAAAGAAGAGACAAAATGCGTACAAGGCGGCTTCATTTTTCCGCAGGTTGTTTGCCAACTTTCAATTTCTTAATTTTGATGATTGCTTAGGATGCTATTCTCCACAAAATTTATGAGCGAATTAAATTAATTAATTAATTAATAATTATTCTCCCTTATCATTTTCGAACTCCTAAATTTTTTAATGAATTAATTATGACGCCACGTACGATACCACCACTTGGCAATGAATAAACACCGTCCTTTTCTTAATTTGCACGACTCACTACTCCCAGAGCCATCGGAAAAAAATAAATAAATAAAAAATAAATTATGACACTTTTAATCATAAATAATGGGCATATGATCTAGATCGTAGCCCTAATCCTGACATATTAGAATAATTAATAAAGGTTATTAGTTGGTGTTGTTGAGGTTTTTGATGACAGGGCACGTGATATGATGAAGCATCTTTAGATTACTTTAGATTTTAATTAATAATTAATTATATATAATTTTGGGTACATGAATGCCTTACGCCTCTATTTAATAATTAAGAGGCACTCAGATGTGTGTCGTCCAATATTAATTATATAAAAATAGGACCAATGAATCTCAAGAAATGTTCAGTCCCAAAAAAAAAAAAAGAATCTCAAGAAATGTCTTAACATTATTATAAAATTTAAAGGCACTCATTAGGGCATACCCTATAATCTTGTCTTCGAATAATGCATTCCCTGTGGCGCCTTTCTAGGTCCAGTCAACCAACCCCAAACAAAAAGGCTTTTCTTGTTCGGGAAAAATATTTTTTTATTAAAGTAATATAAAATACGCTTTTAATCTTATTTATAAGAAATTTTTAACATGTTCCATTTTAAAATACTCTTTTAGAATCGGACGAAATTCTAAATCTCATTAATTTTATTTTAAAATTTAATATTTTTAATTTTATTTTTGTTTAATATATATACTTTTTAGATAATAATAATGATAATTTACAGAATAGTAAATTAAGAATAAAATTGTATATTTATATAATAAATTTAACGAGGTTAGTAAAAAAAATTCCTCTCATCTTTACCCTATAAATAGAACAAAAGTAATATACGAGCATCATTTATAATACCATTTGGTATTGGTTGATGGAATTACCTCTTCTTTTTATATTAATCTCTAAGAATAAGAAAAACAAATAATAGATTCCTTTCAACTTTGTTTGTTATATGTACAAAGATTGAGATCGTACTCTCAGCTGTTTATTTAAAGTATGAGAGTCTTTAACACCTACTATTGTCTAAATTATAAAATTTTTATCCATCTAAGCCTGACGGTTACCGACTTCAAATTAATTAGTAATAGTACATCATAGATAGATATATAATATTTGTTAAAAAAAATTGAAAAAAAGGAGATAACACATAAATGAGCAATCGTTGATAGTTGTGAAATACTTATCATGGATAAAAATACTCCCTCGGATCCTGGTCCTATTTGTAAGATACCAAAGGATGTATGAAATTTTAACCAGTCGTTTATTTTAATTTCTATTAGTTACATTTATATAATTGCATTAATTTTTATACCCACCTCTTTTTTCCACTCATTCTTTCTCCCTCCTCTAAATAAAAGTATTTTTTAAAAATTTTTTTTTACATATTTATTATTTTTAACTAATTTTAATCAATTTTTTATCCACATAATTCAGTTGTTCGTATCTTATACATAGGATCAAAAAGCCAAATATTTAGAATTCAATCAAAGTTTAAGAATATTGTGTGTGTGTGTCTGTGTGTGTGTTTATTTTTTTTTATAATTCAGAGTATCTTCAAACCACTTTAGACTTGAGATTAATCTCTGTCAGGTCGGGAATGTTAAGATTAAAATCCTCTCAACAAATGCGTTTTTGGGGATTCAAACTTCTATTCTTTTTTTTACGGGAGTAAGACTGTTGATCATCTCAACTAACAGTTTATTGGTATTTAAAAATATTATATTGGGTTGCTTTATCATGTGTGATATCAAAAGAAATGGGAGTTTCAAGAATGAAATGATTCGGTGAGCACTTTGTAAGCTTAGCGGCTATGCTTTACTTGTTTTACAAGTTCTGTTCATTTCTGTTCTGCCCCATTACTTCCTCTCTACTAAATTAATTATTAATTCAAATCTTTTCATTATATATCATCCCTTGTTTGCTACTATTGGATGCTTAATTTTTTATACCCAGCTAGATGCACTCTTTCAAATAACATTTAATATAGGATAAAAATAAAACAACTAATTAATATTTTTTTGGGATAAATTTTATTTTTCACACAATATTTTAGTGCTTGATCAATTGATATACTTATAATATTAAGAATTTAAGACTTATGCTTAGGAGAGTACTAACGGTTCTCCTCATTTTCCAGCTTATTTTGCTTTCCCATCGTGGAGGTTCTAGTCAAGGGGTCTCAAGCTCCCAATCCCACATTCCATGGCTTTTACATAAATATCCCTCATTTAAAATTAGCAAGATTAATTTTCGCAGCCCTTTTCCTTGAAACGACATTGAAACTTTTACCTAAAAACATTAAAAAATCATGTAGTGAGACACGTCGTCTCAATAAATCATAAGTTCGATTTACAGAAAATGCAATGAATGATTACAAGGCAATTAAGTGAGCTCAAAATAAATTTAAATATTAAGTAATAACAAAATTTTTCATACATACATTTCAAAGCCATTGTGAAATCCATAATGATAAATAATGCTAATAAGATCTCATAAATTCCCTTATATTCTTTTTGAAACATTTGATTGAACTCGAGGCTCATAAATATTAAAAAAGATGCGTTCTTATAATTAAATTGTTCTAAGCTCTTCAATAGAGAGATATAACTCAGTTAAAGGCCACGGAGCTCATAACTAGACCATGGATTTTGTCTCTTGAAAACTTAGAGAGGTGTCATATGTCTTCCAATAATCTAATCCTATACTTGATTAAAGGTAGAGTTGAGTGATATATTTAAATTTAATATTGATATTGATAAATTTATACAAATAATAGTTAGATTGATGAAAGGTGCTCAATTTTCTTTGAAATAGGTCAATAATATGAATCTTGTAAATTAAAAAAAATATCTCGAGAGAGTTACAACATGTGATGGCAATTGAATTTTCTTGGGTGCAACTTCCCCTCAGGCTTCAGTTGGTTTGCTCCAAAAATGTCACTGTCTTTGAGCCTTTGAATTTTCATGCGTTGCTTCTTCTTCAATGACCTTCACTTTCCCTCTCCCTCTTCTTCCACTGTCCATCTTCCACCTTGCTCCATCAAACTCCAAGACAACGGTCCTACCCTTCCCCATCCACCACCACCAACATAAACTAAATCCGTTTATTATATACTACTTATTGTTTAATTATTATGCTAGCACTTATCTGTGAATTTTCTAGGCAACTCTCTCTCTCTCTCTCTCACATAAAATTTCCCTCATATAATATTCCTCCACGCTTTCTCTTTTCTCTTACTTTGACCATTTCTCTCTCCTCCATCTTCCCCTATATAACCCTCACCTTCTTCCTCATCTTCATCGCCCTCCTCCTTCATCTCCTCGCCACTTCACTTGCTCTCTCATACCTGCGTCTCCAATTCTTCTGCGCTTTCTCTGCTAACTGATCACAAATGGAGCCTGTAGCATCCAAGAGGGCTAGACCCCAAGAAGAAGAAGAAGAAGTTAATAACAGTGAAGAATCGTTAAAGAGGCAAAAGCCTTACAGCCAAATACTCTCTCTTCTCGAATCAGAAGAAGAGGAATCCCCTCAAGATCTCTCTCCTCTCATCACCACTCTCCAACAAGAAATAACTTCTTCTGACCAGACCCCTTTGGCTCCGCCACCCGCGGAAAATTCTGAGGCCGTCGTCGTCCACCCAGAAACTCATCAGCAAAACCTTGCTTCTTCATCTTCTTCTTCTTCTGAAACCCCTTTCACAGAACCAGTGATGAGACATCTCCTGGAAGCTTCGGACGATGAGCTTGGAATCCCAAACACAGGGTGGGACTTTGGGGATGATTATGGGTTTAGTAGCAGTATTATGAACAATGATACAGAAGATATTAATGGGTTTGCTTCTCTCAGTGATGGCTTGTGGGAGTTTGAAGATGAAACTGCTAACTATTATACTTTGTTGCAGTCTCAGCTTTTTCTTTAGGTTCTTATTATGATTTTTGCTGAGACCCTAAGAAAGAATAGATACAAAGATAGGAGGAATTTTTTTTTTTTTAAGTTTTTCAATTTTCAATTATCTGCTTTTGTATAAAGATTATGGGTTGGGATGGAGCATTGGCATGCTAATGACCTAATTAACTGAAGCAGGATGTTGATCAACCATTTTCTTCCCTTCATTATTATATTTACTTTATCCTTAAATTTTTTAAATTTACTCGAAGAAAATTCATTGAACGGACTTAATATATATTTGCTTCTTAATTTTATTTAGGAATTTTGTTTTATATATATATATATATATATATATATCAGTTTCACACCTTGAAACGAGGCTAACTATAAACGATATAATAATTGATTCTATCTCATAAAGCAAAATATCCGATTATAGGACGATTGAATCGAAGATATTTGATTACTTTTTAAGTAAAGTTTAAGTTTAAACCTAATTAAATCATAACAATCATATATGTTTTTGCTTCCGCATTTCATTTTAGATTTTAGCTTTTAAATAAAGATTTCAGGTTCACTTCAGAGGAATCAATTAAAATAACTAGCAACTGCAATTGAGTCAAGAGGAAGGAATTTCATATTTTTTTTCAGTTATAGTTTTAATCTGGAATCTTAAGAAGAGAAAATGTTATACTGCAAGAAAAAATTTTACTCGAAGAACCACTTTATGTCACATTGTTCAAATAACAATTTATTCATGCAATCCAAAAAAAAAAAGAAAAACCAAAAACAATTTATTCACAAACAAGAAGGCCGAGGCCTCACAGTTTAATATTTAGTAAATTATATTACTACTATTATTTATTTTTAAAATAGATAGTTTTTACTAAATATCACAAATAATTAATACCGTGACAAGTGACAACAATATAATTATCAAATATCAAATAATACATGCAATAACACAATAAATATTGATATAAAATATCAAATTTATATCGAAGGATAACCCAATCTTCAAATTCTATGAAATGTAGGGGGATGTTACATGATAAATTAGTGTGTCTTTATACTTGTGTTTTCCCGCTTGTTTTTCTTCCATTTAGCTATCCACTTTTTATATGATTTTAAAATTGATCCTTTGTGGGCTAATTATCCATGTCCTTGGCTTGTATATCCTTAAGGGTCCGTTTTTGTACAAGGAAAATGAAAGGAAGGGAAGGCAAAGAAAAATTTTAATAAATCCAATATAAAAAATTAAATAAGTCAAACATTTTTAATTAATTTTTCTTATTTTTTTTATATCACATCTTAATTTTATTGAAATTTTATAGCCTTTTTTTTCCTTCAATTTTTAAATTAAATATTAAAATTTCCCTTCCCTTCATACCAAATATAGAGTTAATCTTTATGCAATTTGTCTGTGCAGGTATGCATATATGTACAAAAGAATTTTCCGTTAATTGCTTGACTTTGACTTGTGAGGTGGGGAGGAAAGGGCCACGGAAGAAAAAAAGCGCCGTGCCGTATCTGCCATGTTCCACAGTCTAAGTCCTTTCTACATTTTCTTCACTCATCAACACCCCATAATACTTCAAACAAGTTTTCTTTTGAAAAAGAAACTCGTTTACTAGAAGACTCAAGGAGATTTTTCCAGTTCGTTGACAGAACTGACACGAAAACCGCAAGATAACTCCACTGACTCTGATATCACCAACCCATCAATTTCCAAAATCAATGCTTGAAAATGCCTCTGCAACTGACAAGAATGAAGAATCCAAGCTTAGACCTTGACATGGGCAAACACAATCAATGCACTTACCAACAGATCAGTCTAGCAGCTTAAATGGGTCAGAGAAGAAGGGACCCTACCATTAGTGGCTTGAGAAGACTCCATTCAATCAAAATTTGCCAAGTTTTGATGATTGTGTCAAGAGAAAGACAAGTTGAGGCTTTGAAGGATCAGGGAATTACTGAAATTGAAATAAGTTGTGGACAAGAGGGAACCCAGAGAATCCTGGCCAGAGAGGCAATCCACCCATTAAATAAAGCCCCAATTCCAAAGAAATATTCCACGCATCAATAGGTTCCGTGCTCAGCCAATTCAGAAGTCCACTTTAACCAATTTCCCATTTATTCGGCTTTCATCCATTTCAGCATTTATTTTGCTATCGAAATATTTCTATGATTAAAAAAATAAATAATTTTGTAATATTACAAAAATTAAACATTTTCATGCATTTCTTAATCAATTTCATAACAAGAATATAATAAAATAATTCCCATTTATAGATATATATTAGCTGTACAAAAAATTGATTCTACGACTACAACGTGAAAACTACCAAGTCCTTGGCATTCATAACGTCCGACTTTGCAAGCCACCTTTCACTACACTTACAACAAAGATTAATAATGATACCGAATAAAAATAGCATTACTATAAAACGTGCATCCAAGAACCCAAGTAGGACCCCAGTAGGATTGAAAAATGTCATCCATGATGTTTGTCATTTTAATTAATAAAAAGTTATACACTTGAGAATGTTTGAAAAAATGGCGTGTAAACAGAAATCTTCTGAATGAACTAATGACTCAAGGTAAAACAGGAATTAAGAAAGGTCAAAATGTCAAAATAGTGAATCGTTCCCAGGAACAAAATCCTCCACCCTTAAAAAAATGGAAAAACCTGTATTTCTCAGCGTAGGAGGCATCTTCGTGACAGTATATCACAACTTCAATACAAGGCTCACTCTTCATCATCCTCATCTCCATCACCCCCAGCAGCTTTCTTAGCAGCTGCCCGCTGGTTCTTTCGCTTCACTCTTCCAGGACGTCCACCACCAAATGGATTCGTTAGAGAGAAGTCAATGTGTTTCTATGAGTCTAGCCTCACCATAAACGAGGGAATATTCACCACCTGCCTTCCTACCCTGTTAAAGGTATAAAATTAACCAGTGAACATAAGAAAATTAACGAATGTGTAAAACTGTGGAACTGTGATGTGTCCATGCATCCTACATGTTGAAGAATATGCAGCAGCCAGTATAGAACATAAGGCCTCATCAAGAAAATCTAATAAGGAGCGCGGGAATATAGAAGAGTGGACCATAACAAGTCAAGCAACAAATATAAACTCCCTACACAGGAGGCAAAGTGAAGTTTTCAGCAATTGCTTAATGATGAAGTGTTGACAGTGGGCCTATTCTCATTGGGCCTAACCCATAGATAACCCTAATTTATTATTACCGGTTACACTCTTTTAATTAGGATTATTTTTTCTGCCTTTTTATTTAGGGATTTCAGATAAGATTATTTCCTGATTTAGTGTGATTAGATTTGATGTATCATTTGAGAGAGATTCTATGCGATCTGATAGCACCCTCTTCTCCTATATGTATCGGTTTCTATAGTGGAATAAAATACAGATTTAAGCGTCCCAATAGCATCATGAAGTACATAAAAACGTGGTATGAGCTCAGTTGCATACATAAAAAATCCAATACAGTACTAGTATTGTAAGAGAATGGGCAGAATATGACAATCACCAGGGAAGGCAGATTTAAATCCACTTATCTTCCATTTCCATAGATGAAATATAATTTTTATTAAACACTTGAATATAAAAGGATGGCACTTAAGTAGTACTTCATAGACAAGATATTTTAAGATGCATGACACAATCCTGCCTGCGAGAGCTATTTTCTCAGGGATGGAGGGGGTCTACAAATAATTTGCTTCATACCATATTTTTCCATGGATGGATAAGCACTGATCCAAAAGTTGGTACCCTATCAACAAATAAGACTTACAGACCCAAGAATTTATGCACACAGCACTTTGGCAACTTCTCACGAAACTTAGTTGACTCCTCCAAGAACTTAGTTAGCAGCCAAAAGTTAAATCTAATACATATGTTAGATATTAAGACCATCCGTCTCAACAACCAAAACTACAAAACATCACATTGTTTGTAGGGGAAAATTTTCCCAACAGCGTCCTAGACTGGAATCTGTTTCCATCATCATTTAAAGCTTCAGGGCAAAGCCAATGACTATTCCACCTATGAAGATTTGATATATGAAAGAAATTTAAAATGATTCAAACGCAAATTAAATTTTTCACATCATCAAAAAGCTACAAAACTCTAAAAAGTGAATTTCGTGCCTGATATGCCTCTGCCTGATCAAAACTCTAGCGTGGTGGATGGACTTGGCCATGCCGGACTTTGAAGACCAGCGTCTGAAGACGACGCTCGAGGAAGTTCTCGACGGTAAGAGCCAAGACGCAATCGAGTTTGTTCTGGCTCTCATCGAGGGGACCGTACCTGTTCATCCTCCTAAGAAGAGCTTCGCCTTCGAAGATACGACGAGGATTCTTTTCATCGAGCGTGAGAAGCTCTCCAGCCGCATTACGTATCCGGCTGAGCGCATACTGAACCCTCCACAACTCCCTCTTGCAGCGAAGGCCGTGCTCCCCGACTCGTGACCTAAACGCTCCTTCTCATAGGGACGAGGAGGTTTCTTGAAGGTTTTACCATCTGCATTGCCACCGAATGTCACTCTCAAGATTTTAAACTGTGAAAACAAACAAAACCAGAGGAGAAACGGCACTTGCAGTTTCTATGGAATGAGACGTGCACCGTTGCGACCTACTGGTCACGCCCGAGGCCCGCCAAGAACAGAAAAAGGGATACTTCTGTGCTTCAAAATGTAAACCCTAATTTCCCATGAGCTGTGAGTTATTTCTTTGAAGGAATTACAGTCAAATATCACAAAAAAGAAATAATTATTAAAAAATCTTAATAATAACCTTAATAGTCTATAATAACAAATCCTATAGTAAGAATAACAACTTCTAAAACTTGTTTTTTAATTGTTTTCCTTGCTTGGAATGTCATTATAATTCTTCCTATGTCTTTTTTCTTTTTGGTTTTATCTAATTACAAAATAATAAAAGTTGAAAAAGCTTTTTTTTTAATGACTGCAAAATTGCTTCTTTTTTTTTCTTCCAATTTTGGTTACAAAAAATTTCATATTCATGAAAAAAATATATTATGAATAATATTTTTGTGATTTCCACATATCTCATATGTCTCATTACCTTCATTATTATATGTTGGAAGCGTTTGAATTAGCTTTTCAAAAGTGATTTTATAAGTTAAGTATGTAAGGATTTTTTTTTTTAATTGCCAAACTCCCTAGTTACGTCCTACTATTATAGAACTTGCTGATTAGTTAATTTTGTTAAGATTGAAGTTGTAAAATTATGCCCGTACGTATGTACTCAGTATTTTGAGGAGAAATAAGAAATATTCTCTCCAACTCTCTACTTATTTTTTCATTCTTTTCTTTATTTACATGACAAAATCATGAATGAATAGTTTATATGAAAATTTAATGTGATTCTTCAAAAGGGCATCTCTATTTTATATTTCTGCCATGGGCTACGCTCGGGTTCAGTGAGTCGACTTCTTGAATATAGTTTAAAACTTTATATTCATATCCACCAATCCTATTCAATCCAAGAGAGAATGACAGGACTTTGCAAGTAAATTAATACAAAAAATGTGGATCTGTTTAAAATTAAAATTTTAATTTTCACACTTCAAACTCCTATATTTACAGCTTTACATCATCAAGGTCCACATTTTACGTTAACCTTTCTACAAATCCTCAATTGTGATTCTCCCTTAATCGAATTGCTTCTTTTCAGGCCAAAGAAAAATTAACTTCCCTTGTTTCTTTTGCGACAAAGACATTTTAACATTTAAATTACCATATCAAAACATAAAAAATGAACCAACAATTTAGTATGTCTACCATGCTTGCTTTAAAACTAAGTCGTAAGACAGATCTGCTTGTCATACTATGTTTAATAAAACCTGATAACAAAGTCTAGAAGTTTCAATTTCGTCTGCTATACAATAGGCCGGAGGGAATGAAACAGATGCTCCCCAGGCATTCGCTCTGTTTAATAGACAAATAAGTACACACGGCTAAGATGCAGCTAATACTCAACAATGGGTACAAAAAAATGCATCTTCCTCCTCATCTTTGCTTTTTAATTTTCCCCATCTCAGTTTACAATTTTCGGGAATATTAAAAGGTCTTCCTATGTCTTCATCTAATTTTCATATTCTACAGACAACACGAACCTTCAATTTCAGGAGAGGAGGAGAATGAGAAGGAGAAGATAAGAGAATTTACAATTTCCAGCGGGTCAGAAATACTGGTTGTATGAAGTTTTCTGTTGGTCCAAGGAAACATGTCCTGTTGCTTGCCGCATTCTACGTAGCAACTACATTGTGGCGCTCCAATACTTTGGTCCCATTTTCAGCCCACCACTTTTCAGCTTCCTGTTCTGTGAAATGTTTCCGACTGCAAAATCAACTTTGCATTCAGTGCACATTAAATCCAGTTACAAGCAATGAATTAAAAAAATGCATTATCTTCTAGTTAAAAAAAAACATAATTAAATAAATATATTTTTATACCTAAAATAAAATAATTACAGTTTGCTTCCTCATCGATAAATATTTTTTTATAAACAAAATACATCAACCATGGAGCTTTAAGAATGGCAAGTGAGAGAATTTCTTTTTAACGGAATCAATAGTAGAAAGATGAGTGATGCAGAACACAAATAGGAATGGAAGGAAAAACAAAATACTTGAACCCAAATCTCAACTTCGATATTCAATAAGGGTTAATATAATCTTTGGTACCTTAAGTTTACTCTCATTTAGGTTTTGGTCCCCAAGTTTCAAATCATAAGTTTTCGTCCCTCAGGAAGCAAAATGGTCCAAGTTTCTTATTAACCAAAACCTTGCTACTTAAAACTCGAGGGACCAAAACTAAAATGAAGACAAATTTAAAGGATCAAAAGCTGTATTAACCCATTCAATAATGAAAAGAATTACAGCTACAGCTGACTATTTATATACTTAGAGAACAAGATTGCCCAAAATTACAGACTCCAATCAAATCTCAAGTTACCCCGATTGCCCTAAATCATAGACCCTAATTCCCAAATAATGAAAACATTGTTACAGTATAAAACAACAGACAATGATCTCTTCAGATATTGCACAAATGAGTTTAAAAAAATGTCAACATATTGTGCTTTTATCTGAGAACATGATAGAAAGCACTAAACTTGTCCATTAGGAAAGCCTGAAAAGAAAATAAGATGGTCATTTAATCAGGCGATACCAATGTTCACATGAAGTGATGATTCTGACTTCACATTACAATCCATGCAGTAAAAACTAAATAAAACCTACCATTGTTGGGGAAGATGTGACTATGGGTTAAGTTAAATTGGACATATTTCAACCATTAGAGGATTTCAAAACATAGATACCTGAAACGCACGCGTTTAAGTTCATTACCACCACCTGGCAAGGAGGACAAACTTATGTATACACCTGGTTCATCTTGCACCACCCACTCTGACTTTCCACTCTGTGCTTTGGAAATACTAGGCAGTATCCCATTTTCTGCATTGCTGTTGGACTCAGTTTCAGCAGTGATACTCTCTGTTATGTGGCTCTCGTTTAAAGATTGATTTAGAACATTAGAGGTGATTTCAGCAGAGAAGTCTACACCAGAGTTTGCAATACCTCCCTGTGGCACTCTGTGTACCACTTCCTTCAACTGTAAGACAATTTAGCACCCCTAACATTAGAGATAACTAGTCAAAGCTAGTGGCATCACAAATCAATAGCTCTCCGATAATCCTGCTCCTCTTTGCACCACAAGACGTAAGGCATATAATGATGGATTCATGAACACGATTATAGTACACTACGTTGTTATCATTTTCAATATTTCAATAGGTCCAAGCTTGTTTGGAGCATATTATATGAAACTGATTTCGTTACGTCATATGGAGCTAGGTACAAAGTAGTCATCGTCATTTCTTGGGTAGAAAACTGACCGAGTTCACAGCACACCTTTTTTTTTGGGGGGGGGGGGACAAAAAAAATAATTATATGGTTTAAGTGCTAATAGATGAATTTAAAAAAAAAAAAAAAAGGCTCCACTCCTAATGCCAGATATTTCAAGTATTTCTGCCAAAATTATCAGCCATCAATACATGAGTAATCTATCATCTATCAATCAATAAATATCATAGCAATCCAATGATCGAGTTACTGTGAATGATCTCATCAAGGACTGAAGCTTTATTAGAAGGAAATAAAATTAATTTTGGCGGTGATTGATGGATGTAGTCCCGCACTCCAACCTCCCCCTCACCCCAAAAAAAATGTATATATTAAGTTGTTCTTTTCCTTGTCCCCCTAATGCAGATTGTATCATCTAACGTCCTAAATCTCGTCTATAAATTAGGTCCACTACATAGCAGTCATTGATCAGCCCCCAAAAAGTACAGTTTCCATATATTCATAAACAAAGTGAACCGAATTTAATTCAGTCAGGCACAACTGTAAAACGGTAAAGAAAGAATAAGAAAAGAGAAGTCCCCAGCATAAGAACACCCCACCTGAGCAGTCAATGACTTTATAACCTCTTTAGCAGATTTACACTTCTCAGCTTCTTCTGCTGCTACTGCAGTCACTTCCTTTAATTGCTTTGATGTCCTCTCAAGTTCAGCCTCAAGATGCTTGGATTTAAGAGTAAGATCTTCAACCTAAGCAGTATTTTAATCAGTTTCGAGATGGAGTAAGCTTGAAGCATTTACAACATACTCATGATTATGTAATCAAAATAAGTTTAGAAAATTGCAAGCATCTATATTTTTTCTTGGCTTTTTTTTTTTTCCAGGTAAACTATTAAAATTTACATGACTGGATTAAATCCTAGGAGTGCAACGTAACATATGGAGATATGGACACTTAAAACTGCTATGGGACAGGTGTTTTAGGCTGGCTACACAGAGAAGTTCCATCAGCAAGTCCCATGTGTATTGGTAACCTATGATGATGTATTTGATCAGGTTGCCTTAGACCCAAGGAAGTTACTGGGAGAGATCTTTTGATGAATAAGCTATGCAAAAGATTTGGCCGTTAATAGAGCACAATGACATTGTAGCCAACCCCATTTAATGGGATAAAGTTTCGTGTTGTTGTGTATATAGTCAATCATTGATGTAGGCAGAAGGGTAAGGAGAGGGAAGGGGTGGGGGACAGAAAGAATTTAGAACTGGATTAATCTGATAACGGACAGAACATAACAGAATCAGAGTCCTATCCCCTTTATTCATACTAGTCTAAAAGCCTAACAGTCAAGTCACGTATATCTAAATCATAACTATCATAACTAATTAACTAGCTCCTATCCCCTTTTATATTTACATAATAGTGATCTAACTATCTAAAGTATATATTTGTATCATGGCATGAATAAGTCTTACATTGTATAATTTATAACGTTGGACAGTGCCCACATATGCCATGAAATAACCCCTTCAAAAATTTTCACGTGGGAAAGAATATATGCATAAGCACAAATACCAAATTCATCGTTATTCAAAGGTTGTGCGAAAAATCAGATTAAGTAGCATCACTTTTCTTTTCTCACAAAGGAAAGCAAAATATCTCTCTATCTTCTTCATGAGTCCTATTACATTTTTGGAAGGACTAAAGAAATAAGCAAGCAGAAAGCCAACACATATAAAATATGAGATTTCGCCAACCTTTGGCTCTCATCAGACAATGATCAGTTTAAAAAAAAAAAATGAAATAAAAATATTCACATAAACAGTTACAGCTTCCAAGATCACAGAAGATTTACAGGAAAAAAACAGAGAGCTGAATGAAAAACTTTTGTATTGGCCTTACCTGTGCCCTTAAACTTATAACCTCCTGGCTTAAAATGCTGTTTCTGTGCTTTGAATCATCATGGACATCTTCAGAAGACAACCGTGGGCTCAATTTTTCTGAAACTGGAGATGAAGCTTCAGAGTTCAAACCACTTGCGGGCACAGAAACTGACAGGGGCTTCTCTAATGCTCCAGCAAGAGAATTTGATGCGTTTAGAGGACTGAATCCCCCCAACTGTAGTTTGCCATTCAGAGCTGGAAAAACATGGCTATGATGTGGTTCTGGGATCTTTGAGTGCCTGCTTTCTGCTTGAGCAGTAGAGCCAAACGATGAAAGTCTTAATAGTTTTTCCTGTAGTTTACCAGCCCAAGAGTCAGGCAAATTTTTTAATGTAAAAGTTTTCGTCAAGGAAACAGATTCTGTGGTCTTCTTAAGTTTGGAATAACAGTCATCACAAACACGATATGGCCTGTTTGAATTTGGAGCAAGAGAAGCTTTAGTAGATTTTCTATTGCTGCATGCTGAACAAAAAACAAGTCCACAGTTGTAACAATTATGACGTTTTCTTCTGAATCCAAAAGGATTGTGACAGCCAGAACACACAGATTGGTCAGCACTTGATACCCATTTATGAGGACATATAACAGCAGTGAAGTTTGAACCACAAACAACACTCCTCGCTTGCTTATTTTTAAAAAACTTAACAAGTGTAGGTGCATCTCGGTGACTATTGTCTCCATGACCTAGCTGCCCATTAGAACCCTTTCCCCACGTGTAAACTTCTGCTTTGGAAGTCAGAACTCCAATATGATATGAACCACAGGCAATATATTCTATAAAACTACCGGCAATTTTACCTTCAACCCGTGTAGGGAATTTTCCATCAACCGCTGGACTGCCAAGCTGCCCATAAGCAGTACTGCCCATTGTATATACATGTCCTGAGGCTGTCAAAGCAACAGTGAGACTGTGACCACAAGCCACTTGACAAATATTTTGATTATCCAATGCAATAACACGCTGGGGAATTAATCTAGGTTCGCTATCACCATGTCCAAGTTGGCCTTTATCTCCATCACCCCAGGTGAACAGTTTTCCCATAGGTAAGTTTCTAGAAGATTCCATAGATTCAGTTGCCACCTCAACAACAGCAGCAGTGTGCCAAACACCACAGGAGACCCTGGTTGTTCTCAACCCTGTCAAAGTTTCTACTTCCCTAGGAGTATTTGTGCTACTAAGATCTCCTAGACCTAAGGCACCAAAAGATCCATCCCCAAATGTGAACAACCGGCCAGAAGATGTCACAATCGCTGTGTGCCAAGGTCCACAAGATACATAGGATACATGTACACCTTCCATGTTACCGCTTACTCTCTTGGGAATCCAGTGACTGACTTCATTTCCATGCCCAAGTAATCCAGAATTATGAATACCATCACCCCACGTATAAAGATCCCCAGAAAATGTGACAGCACAAGTGTGATACTCTCCACATGCTACTAATTCAATGTTCATGCCATTAAGAGTGTCAATGAGTTTAGGGTGAGAAACATCCATTTCTACGCCATGCCCTAGCCTACCTCCTGATTCCTCCCCCCAACTATATATCTCTCCTTGCTTGGTAACTAAAGCAGCATGTTTGTAACCACAAGCAATACTCTGAACATCCAGAACTACTTTTGATTCCAAAGCCTTGGGGAGAAATGCATCCATCTCAGAACCAGATGAAGTTCCAAGTCTATGCAAACCACCACCAAGGATTCCATCACCCATACCTTCTCCAAAGATAAAGACATCACCTATAGCATCAAAATCTTCTTGATAAGAACTATGGCTGGATGAACTTACGGCACTGGATAAACTAACTCGAATTGGTTCAGCAGTAGAACTTCGATTGTTTGAGTTATCCCCAGACCCAGGAGACACACAGGAATTTGCATTCGATTCAGCTTGACCGGGACTCTTGCCAGCTGCAGTGTATGAAATAATTTCAGAGAAAGCCTTTCCCAATCTATTTTCTGAAGTACTGTCAAAAGAAAATTCTTCAGTATCTACAGTGTCCTGCAGTTAAAAGAGAACAGGTGAAAATTATAGTAATTCATATGCTTTAATATGTTGTCTGAAATTAAGAAACAAAGGAAGAAGAGAGCAATTGTTACAGACAAATGATGCAATCAATGGAGGATTTTGTTGGGCGCGATGCTGTGGACTATCAGAACCAGCACTTTCACTTCTTGATTCATACCTCCATTTCTGATCATTACCCCGGGTAATTAATGCCTTAAGCCCAACAAACCAGGTTTCAGCTTCATCCTTGTCCTTACAAATCTGTCCATGGATTGAAAAGTTTTAGTCAAGTCAAACTACGAGGTTAACCAGATATTCCAGTGTACCATTAAAAATTATTAAACTAACTTCATTCGAAGGCTCATGCGTCATAGTTAAATAAAAAAAAAAAAAGTAGAAAGAACACGCACCAAATCCAAGGATCTATCATTGTATATCAGTGAAAACGATTGATACTCCTTTTCAGGCCGAGGGTACCGCTGAAATATGGCCTGAATAATAGCACCAAATGAAGTTATGCAAATTGAACAGTAAACTGATAATAAAGATGCAATCCGAGAGTTCAGATCCATACATGCGCATTTTTCCTCTATGCACATAAACAATTAAGTAAAAATTCCTTAGAGGTCAAGTATTGAACTCTGCCACAGGGCACATCAAGGCTAAATTGAAATTTTGACAGAGGCATCTAATATTATTTGGAGAACATAGCTGTTAAGAATTTGTTCAGATAAACTTACAGTTCTCTGGCCAGGAATGATTTTTGAAACAGCACTGAGCTTTAGTTGTTTCTCATCCTTTCCAGCATACCAAATGAGTACAGATTCATCCTGAACCAAAAACAAAAGCATTGAATTGAGTAGAACATAGAATATCATTTTTTTCAAATCTTGATTTCATCTAATGAACACAACGCTACAGACATCCAAAATTGATAAATGAATGGATTGGGCTGAAAACCGAAAGCAAATAAACTTACTGTGGGCACTCTAGGTAAAAGTTGAAGAATGAAGACTAGTTCTCAATAACAATAAATAAGAGATGTATTTATAACCAATTAATTTATATCAGAACAGCTAATTGGTGAAATATGAGCCACACAAAATATTAGAGGCTTTTTTAATAAATTTCAACACACAACATTGTTAATCTAAACCCATATGAATTTCAAAAATAAAGACTCTTTATATTTATTTTTCTATATCATCCTAAATGTTCTGTATTGCCATAAAACTGAAATTTATTCCTCGACTATCCATCACTATAAACCTTGCCACCCAGTTAATAAGAAGCTTTTTCACTTATAATTTCAGTTATAGTGATGTTAGACAACGATGCAAGTAAATATGAGTCTGACAACTGCATCTATATAAGGAAGGAGCTTAGTCAAGTTTTCACCTTTCACTGTCTTTTCAAAAGGCTACCTAACTTTTGATGACGAGTCAATAATTATGCAGGAAATTTTAAGATGCCTGTACCAATCATTTTCAATGAGCTAAGCTTTTTATGTCATTGATCCCTTTTCAAAAAAATTTTCGAATAAAGAATATAAATTAGGGACAGGGTTCATAAAACAGGAGGTAGTTTTACATCATTTGATGTGCTAATATAAAACTGTCAGGAGAGGAAGTGGCCTGGCCCTGGCAACTTACACTGGAAAGCCGAAATGGGCAGAACTTTGGCTTTCCCCTACGCCCATACTTTAGTAGATATGCACCTTTCTTAAGAGATGTAATTGCCTGCAATATGAACACAAACACAAGGGGTTTGTAAAGAAGATGAGCCCATGATTGCAAAAACCACTTATGCATGAGGGGAGACCTCTGTTTCCATCATGAAAATCCCCTCATATCAGAAAATCTGAATAAGATCCATACCACTAGAAATAGGCTTCACTACCATTTTGGTCCCCTGGCTTATTTGTATTAATTTGGTCCCTTGGCTATTTTGTTTGTTTCAATTAAGTCTCTTAGCTTTCGTTTCGTACCATATTCATTCCCAAATTTAGTGTTTTGAAATGGTGTGAATAAAATACAAATTTGAAGTTCTGGGACAAAAATGACAAATAAGCCTCATAGTGGTGGAAATGGCATACAAAATCAAGAAAATGGAATAATCTTGAGTTAAGATTTTTTTTTTTTTTAAATGAGCTTTTACACAAGATAGCTTTATACATACACATTCTCTCCGCATGCACATAAAAAGTGAAATTTGTATAAAACATTTTGGTTCAAAAGAAATGAGAAAATGAGGTGAGAAACTGAGTCTAAGACTTGGAAATGAACCATCTACATCGATGAGATACCTATGATTTATGTAAACTACTTTGGCGGCGGTAAAAACAAAATGAAATACATATATAATTAAAATTCAACAGAGAAAAATGCATCCGAGCACTTTCTGGCGCCAATAGTTGTGAAGCAAATTTATACATTCGTAAGCAGGGTTCAATAAAGCAATCATGAACCTGTTCGATATTCCTATCGCCAAAGACCGTTCTCTGAAGATCAGCCATTCAAGTTGCAATGTCACGTGCTTGGCAGAAGCGGAACCAATACCCATTTGAACAACAGCCCGGAATAAAAAGGATACCATAAGGTAATGCCAAGACTCTCCCCATGAAAATTGGAACACTTGACTAAAATTGATAAAAATGTAAGGAAAGAGCTCTTTAATCTACCCCATAGCTATGAAAGGCACCTCATAGCAAAGGGTCGCAGCTCATGAGCTCGACCCAAAACACCCCTGTATTCATTAGTACGACAGCAAGTACTCCTTAGAACGTCCTCGGAAGACCCTCCGGCAGTAACATTCAGCTCCAAACCAGCTCAATCACACCGACCGTACCAAAGAAACCCTAAGAATGTCTTGAGACCTCTAATCCCCAAAGTTATATTCGAATTCCGCCCAGTTCTTCCTGCAATGCACCGCCAACAACATAAATGTGGACGAGCTTATGCAGTGACAAATGAAATTACCTACGTCGCAAGAAACTCTCAGGTCTCTGCCATGCGTGAACCAATTTCACAGAATCCGGCTCCTTCAATCTCATAAGAAAATTGCAGAGTTAGCCAATTGCAATTTGAAAGGACTCTCAGAGACAATGCCTGCGATTTCTCAACTCGAAAATTCGCCCAGCTCCAGGGAATGCTAACGTGCGCGCCTCTCCCTCTCTCCCTCCTTTTCTGTCCCTCCCTCCTCTCTCTCTCTCTCTCTCTCTCTCTCTCTCTCTCTCTCTCTCTGTTGTCTCATGTAAGGTTTCCGCTCTTTTTTCTCTCTCTTTCTGGGAGAAGCTGAACTGTTTGTCGCTCCTACATTTCGATTTTCGGCCGGTAAATGCCACGTCAGAAACCGAAATCTCTGAGATGGGGATGGCTCCTTTTGTCCTTTTCCTTAACTTAGGGGGACAAATAAGTCCAACTCTGGGATTTGAAACATTACTTTCCTTTTCGGAGATTAATCACCTGCATCACCATCTATGATACGCCCTTCTTGGTATTAGCTTAACTTTCTTCCACGTAACCATATGGACGCAATTCTTCTTCCTTTTTTTTTTCCCCTTAAAAAAATACAAAAAAATTTAGAAATCTGAATGATTTGAGCTTCCAAGTCTATCGAAATTCAAAAGGAGGAAGACCTCACTGTTTGAATTTATTTCAATTGAATTTAATCTCCTCACCTTATTTTAGATTTCAATATTTTTAAAATTTTATTCATTTTAGTTTAATATTTTTGCTTTGATTTTTGAATTTATCTTTTAATTTTATTACCTTCAAAATTAGTACCACCAAACAATTTACCTTATATAAGTTGAAATGCTCTGTAAAGCAGTAATAGTTGGACTAAATAATGCTTTATATTTCTTTTATAACTAAACATTTATGTATGAGCTTATCAAAATTAAAACATACTTCTAAGTTCAAATAATATTTATAAAAATATTTGCAAGTCACTTATCACTAAGGTTTTTACATCAGCAGCGGAATTTAAAAATATTATATACTTTTTTTTTGTATAGTTCAAAGTATTCTTAAATCACTTTGGATTTGAGACTAATGTCTATTATAACAGAAATATTAATATTAAAATTCTTTTAATAAATATGTTTTCTGAAATTCAAATTTATATTTTTTTTTCTTTAGAATAGTAAGACTGTTTATTATGTCAACTAATAGTTTGTTGGCAAACAATTTATACCTTTTATATCAATAATAGCTGTAAGTTATTTACTTTATTTATTTTGTCAAAAAAAATGCAGATCATTTTCAAACTCTATACAACATACGCCAACTATTTTAAAAGGGTTATTTTCATTTCAGATTGTAATAAACAAGTTAAACACCTAAAACAAGAGATAATAAGGAGAGGTCATCCGTGAATTAACTAACCAAGAAGATGCTAAAATGGATAAGTAATTACTTAAAACTCTTCTATCAAATAATTTAGTAGTATTGAGGAGAGAAAAAATATTTGAATGGTCTTTATAAATCAAAATAAAATGAAATGAAGTAAAGGAATTTGAAAAAATAATATATATTTTAGTTTTTCCGTTATCGTCAAGTGTAGGAAGGTGCGCCGTATCGCCATGGACTGGAGCACACCAAAATTATCTTGCTGCCTGCGTTGTCTATTAGTGAATGAATATTTGAATAAGACTAATATGACCCAAAAGTATTCGAACAAAGAAAAGACATATGTCAAAGTAGGAAAAGAAAAATACTGCCTCATCTTAAATATAAAATTTATTTAAAAATTTAAGTTTAGTTGTAATTTTACATTTGCTGGTTAAAAAAATTGTAATTTTACATTAATTTTTTTATAACATCCTGTTTATTAAGATATTTTTTTAATCTTTCATGTTAATTTTTTATTATTAAATGATAGGGTTATTTTTGAAAAAAAAATGATGAATTTCTTTTGTCTATTAATTATAAATAATTGACTTTTTTTTTAATTATACAACTTTGGAGGAGCGGCAGACAACGACAGTCCTCGAGGCCCCAGGCGATGTCGTTTAGTGACTTGCCTCAAAAGAAGAGAAAATGGCTAATCGGGCTTAATAAAAATGAAACATATTTAAATATAGTTTTACTGTAATGAACAACTAGCAATAGCCGGTTCTTATGACAATTTATATATATTAAATATAAGTTCATTTAGTGGATTGTTTAATTATTTTTTATTTTAATTTTATTCTTATTTAACTTTTGTTAAAAAAGTGGTAATAATAACTTGTAAATATTTTCTAAATGATAGTTAGCTTATTAAATCTGTTTCAAATTGAAATTTGTTTCCCACTTTACCCATATTAAATGATGTTGTGAAAGGGGGAAAGAAAATAAAAGGACCGACATTTAAACATTTATTGCAGGAACAAAATTGATAAATAAGTATTAATTAATCTTCACGACTTATATTTTGAATCAACTCATTTATTTAGAAATGATGTATATTGCAGCATAGAGAAAGGAAAAAAAATTTGAATGAGAGTAAATTTACAGAAATTATCAATTTATCAATGAGGTTGGATCCAATAATAATTTACTTGGCACGTAAGATGGAATTAATAAGCAAATTTTTAGGGTTTTTGGTTAATCAAAATACTCGAAGTATTTGTTTTAAAAGATCCAATAAAAAATTTGAAATAATTATAACGCATAATGTTAATTGATGATGCAGATGCTTTCATCAATACCAATACCAATTTGGGACAAAAAATATAAAACTTAAGAGCCAAGTAAACGTGAGGCATTTCACAACCAGAATGACAAAATAAAATATCCCAAATTCATTTTACCAGTACACACACACACATCCCAAATTCAGCGCAACTGATTTTGAAGTTGCCTCCTAGAAAGTTAAATAGATCTAATATCTAATTAATAGCTCTTACTATTGAACAAAGAATATTATACTCCTCCGATCCTTAATGTAAGACACATTTAACTAATTTGATTAAGTCAAGGAAATTAGATAAGTTAGTTAATTATAAGAAAAGTAATATTTTTCCTAAAACATCATAATCATCTTTCTTAATACCTCCTCTCTTTCTTCTACTTGATTATGATTGAGGGAGTATCCATAGGGGTAATTTAGAGAAAATTGATAAATATGAGAAATGAATATTATATTTAAGATCAAAATCAACTTAAGAATTAGGTCCTATATTAAGAACCGGAAGAGTATGTCCATATCACAATCCATGCTTTAAGATGCAATTTTTTCTTGCTAGAATCAAGTATAATTATTACTTTGGCATCTTAAAATAATGACTTTCTTTATATTTAACTACAATGCATTACTCCTCAATAAACGCCTCCTTACATCTCATTTAAATATGAAGTTACAGGTCTGATTCCATGTGAATACGAAAGATGCGTAATTGACTTGATATTTAAGACCACAGATGGTATATTAATTTTTATTGAAATAAAGAACAAAGTGTTAATAATATTTATCAAAGATGTGTATTTTTTTTTAAAAAAAACAATATTACTTCCTTTTTGGAAGATTACAGTTAGGTCCCAAAAAAATATTTAATTATCTTAAAATCCTAGTAACAAGTAAGAAACATAAATTAGTTATTATTTTTTACACCGAAACTTATCATTATATGCTTTTCAGCTATCAAACTTTAAGATAATTAAATTGCAATTCCTCCTTCCTTCTTTTATTTGGACCTAATCATGAATCATCTGATGCTCAAGTTCTAGCATCTTCGGCCCCGTTTTCATCCTCAAAACATTCACATCATGATCATGCATCCCGAGGCCCAAAAGCACGCACGCAACACACATCCCCAGGGTCACTCCAGTCGTGTTCCTTTCAAATTGTCTAAAGAAAATATGGAATAGAACACTTTAACTTTGAAAGCATGGTGAAACCCTTTCTAATTTTTTCTTGTCCTGGGAAATGAAAAGAACTAAAGATGTTTTGGTGACCATGCTTTTTCTGCTTTCTTCTGGATCTCTAATTGCTTTTGGGATCACAACAGGCAAAGCCAAAGATATCACATACCCCATCCAAGTCTTTTCATACAGGGCACTTTCAGGAGGGATATTTGGTCCTTATTACGAGGCACATGAAAATGATGCCTCGTAAAAAGTGGCAGATGGGCTGTGAAATCATCCATGTTAGTTTATTTAAACAATATGCCGATGAATAGAAAACATTCCCATTTTAAATCTGCCATGCTTGCCAGAATAGTAATACAAGTTGAAGTGCCTATTTGCAACAAGCTCACATGACCTCTGGCCATTCCTAATTATAAGATTCTTCATGCTTTCACAGAGTACAGTAGCCCATTGAAGCAAGAACAACCCCATACTTATCATTTGTCACTGAGCTGAGAATGAGAGAGAAGCTAATCCAAAGGCGATGATTCCTTTACACATTGAATTTAATTCCCTGAAACATATCTTTCAGTTATGACTAGAGTTACCTAGAGAATTTTGAGCAAGGAGTAGAAACTACATGTGAAAATCGGAGGAAATCAGTTCAGTTTTCTCAACCTTTCAAAGTTTGACAGATCAAGATATGTTTTCCTCCAATGCCCTACTGATGCGGACAAGATGCTTCTTACAGATCTTCGGCATGGAAAACAACTCTGGTGAATTCAATGTCCTGGGAATTATAGCCAATGCAAGAGTTCATAATTTAGTTTTCATGCCATAGCTATTGCAGTATTAGCAACTGTCAAAAGTAACACTACAGATTAGGAAATCACATCCAGAAACACCCTTCAATATATATAGTCATCATCAAAGACCATGTAATTTCCATTCCTTCTCGATCTAGCCTCTCTATCAGCCTGCACAAATATATCAATATATTCATGTTAACATTTAATATCCCAATATGATTGAATGAGCAGCATTGGTTGACACATTCTGAATTTACCGCAACAAAATAAACCTGCGACTCACGCACTAGCAGCCGTACTCTTTCACTTCATTTTGATTAGCCAGAAAGTTACCAAGGACTAGAATTCTTGCCACTAAACCTATGGGTTTTTCTTTTTCTTATCTTTTCCACTTCATTTAGTTTAGCCAGAACGTTACCAAGGACTAGAATTGCTAGCCTTATGCAGGTCTTTATTAATACCAGCCAGTTGAATAGTCCAACAATTTTGTAGCTTTCCTTACACTCCACAGTAAAACATTGGACCCTATGCTTACCTTGTGAATAAGCCTCTCAAATGCTTCTGTTCCATGCTCCTCCATGTATCTCTCAGCAGCAGTCAGAACATCATCCTGTTTACCAAATATGTCCTTCTTACGGGGAAAATACCACATATGAGAAGCTTGAGGAATTTGGGGCATCTGTGGGTTCATGTAGAAGGGCCTAATATAGTGCTTATAAACATGTGCTGCCCCATTGAAATGTGGAAGCACCAACCAGCAACTGAGAATCAACTTGGCATAAGGCCAAATAGCAAGCCTGAAAGCAGCAGCTTGATTATTACACTTAAAAGATAGAAATAGCACTATGGACTTTCAAAACTTGCAGGTTGGAACAAAACGAAAAAGAAGCAACTTTACAGAATCCCAAGTCATGCTCTTTGAATATTTTCCCTTTTAAAGGGAAGAGCTCATCAAAAGTTCCATTTAAGTACTCAAATATGTAATTTTAAAAGAAAATATACGAATCACATATCACTATATCTGTCTTCATGTGCTCTTTAAACTATGTACATACACTTTGCATTTTCTCAAGGAAAATAGATCAAAAGTATTCCTGCATTGCAAGCACAGCAAACTCAAGCAACAGCAACCAAACTCAGATCATAACAGGGAAGCTTACGCTTCAAGAACTTTGGCAAATGTGAGCTCAAAGAGCGTGATCAAGGAATAAAGAACCCAATAGGTGAGCCATTGTTGATCATCAGCAATGGACTTGGTCTCTATAGCCTTAATCGAAGCATATCTGTTAGGAACACAAAAAATGGCGTGGAGAGGAGACAAACCCCACATCAAGTTAGGGCATCACATTGCTGCACAGTAATGACACAAAATGGACAAAACAAAAAGCATACTCACAAAGGGTATACCAGGGTGACTAAAGGCCTGGGAACCAAAAACAAAAAAAAAAAAATGGTAAGTAAAGAATATAACAATGTCAAGTGAGATTGACAGCAAAATGCCGAAAGAACTAAAGAGGAAAAGGGACTTACAGTAAAAGAACATCTAAATTATTGGCGATGACTTGGAGCAGATTGTTCCCAGAAGCGCCCATGTCTTGCAATCGTTCTCTGTTTATTTTCTGCAGAACTGAGATGAGGGTTTAGCAGAGGGCAGACATGGAGATGGGGACGAGAGAGAGAGAGGAAAAAGGACGGAGAGAGAGGTTTGAAAACGAGTCCAAAAAGTAAGAAAGCAAGTGCGAGAAAGTTGGCAATGGGGTCTCTAGAAAAAATGCATTTTTCTCGGAGAATCTTTATCGCTCGAGAAATGAGGCACCGAATTTTTCATTTTTCCTTTTTTCTGGCTTGTTGTCGGAGGACATCTCTCTTCACTGATTTTTTGGCCAAAAATCTTTATCATCCATTTGACCCTTAAAAAGACATTTATAACAGGAAGCTCAGGAATAATAACGGACCTTATTCCTTAACTACTCTCTCAATGTAGAGAAACAAGTGAATCTACTCTCGATCTAGTTCTCTCTCTCTGTTGGAAAATTTCATTTAAAGATCGCAGTACAAAATTAATTTCAAAAAGCCTCTAAAATTTTCTGAAACTTCATTGCAGAACCAAGAAGGCAAACTGATATTAATTCTACAAAGAAAATAACGTTATTGCCCCTCATACTTCTTGCGGGGTAACATGTAAATGAAAGGCATTTTTAATGTCTAACTGATATAGATCCCAATCATAAGTAGCAGCCAGAGAGATGAACAGACAAACAGATGAGAGCTTAGCAACAGGAGAAAAGGTTTCGGAATAGTCAATGCCATAACTCTGTGCATAACCTTTAGCCATAAGGCGAGCCTTAAGGCGGTCAAGTGTGCTGTCAGCCTTAGTTTTCGGAGTTAACACCCATTTACATCCAATGGCCTTTTTGCCTGCCAGTAAATCTACCAAGGTCCATGTACCAGCCCAGTCAAGGGCCGCCATCTCCTCTTCCATTGCAACACGCCAACCCGAGTGGACCAATGCTTCACGAATAGATCTGGGCACAAAGATAGTATCTAGGGAGGCAACAAAGGAACTAGACACAAGAGACAAGTGGTCATAGGAAACAAAAGATGAAATAGGATGGGCATAAGTACGTTTACCTTTACGAAGGGCAATGGGTAGATCAAGAGAGGCATCCGGGTCTGGAACAGGAGGTGTCTCAGGATTAGGGTCAGAACGAAGTTCAGTATTGCTCAACTCAAGATTCGATGGCGAAGCGGACAAGGGAGGAATAGAAGCTGGCGTGGCGGTAGTAATCTCCTTTGACCGTCGTGTATACACACGATCAAATGGTTGAACGGGTGTGTGAGCGGGTGCTTGAGATGACGGTGATGATGAAGTGACAGAGTACATCAGAATGTCATCCTCCTCTGCAGGTGGAGCAGGTGGGGAAGAACAAGAGAAATATGGTGTGGACTCCTAAAAGGTGACATCTGCAGATACTAAATAACGATTGAGAGTAGGTGAGAAACAATGATAACCTTTTTGGACCCGGGAATATCCAAGAAAGACACATTTAAGAGACTTGGGGTCTAACTTTGAAATAGATGGACGTGCATCCCGCACAAAACAGATACACCCAAATATCTTAGGATCAATAGGAAACAAAGGCTTAGAAGGAAAGAGGGTATAAAAAGAGAGTTACCATCAAGAACAGAGGAAGGCATTCGATTAATAAGAAAGCATGCAGTGGAGACCGCGTCAGCCCAAAATGGTTTGGGAACCTTCATTTGAAACAAAAGTGCACGTGCTACTTCAAGTAGGTGGCGATTTTTTCTTTTTGCAACACCATGTCAAGCTGGTGTATCAACACAAGATGACTGATGAAGTATACCATTTTGAAGCATGTAAGATTGGAACGAAGTAGAGAGATATTCTTCAGCATTATCACTTCGTAAGGTGCGAATAGAAACATTAAACTGAGTTTTAATCTCAGCACAAAAGGCACAAAAATGGGAAAACAATTCAGAATGATGTTTCATTAAATATAACCAAGTTGTTCGGGAATAATCATCAACAAATGTAACAAAGTATTTAAAACCTGCTTTGGACTCTATAGGACAAGGACACCACACATCAAAATGGACTAACTCAAAAGGGGATGAAACCCGTTTATTGACACGAGACATTAAGGGAAGACGAGAATGCTTCGCAAACTGACATGACTCACAATCTAAAGACGACAAATGCTGAAATTGAGGATAAACTCTCTTAAGAGAAGATAAAGACAAATGACCCAATCGACAATGAACTTCAAAGGGAGTATGACTGCTAGTGTAAGCCACCGCATGAGACACCCGATCATCTAGGATATAGTGCCCGCCAGATTCATAACCTCTACCAATAATCTATCTCGTCAAAAGATCCTATATCAAGTAATGAGAAGGAAAAAGTGAGACCCAACAGTTTAGTTGACGGGTGAGTTTACTGGGAGATAAGAGATTAAAAGCAAGTTTAGGGACATTTAGCACAGATGACAAACGGATAGAGGGTGTGGGATTAACAGTGCCAGAACCGATAACTTGAGAATGGGAACCATCAGCGATAGAAATACTTGATAGATTGGCAAAAACATTATAAGAGGAGAAGAGATGGCAGTTACTTGTCATATGATCAGTAGGCCCGGAATCTATAATCCATTTTGAGGAAGAAGAAGCAAGGGCAGTAGCATTATTACCTGTTGTAGCTGCGGCACTCACAGGCAGCGTAGCAGATTTTAACTAGGCATACTCAGCGGCAGAAATCGTGACTGTGTCACTGGCTTGTGTAGCCACGTGGGCAGAGTTATTTCATTGTTGTTTATTCTAAAGTTTACGACATGTGCGTTTTGTATGCCCTGGTTCTTTGCAGTAATAACACACCACCCTACTGGGAGTCAGAAGGGGCCCCTCTTGCTTCGAACCACCATAGGGAGGCCCCCCGCGGTTATCACTAGGACTACAATTCTCATTGGTACCCTTACTGAGCAAGGCACTTGTAGGAGTACTAGTAGCTAGTGGCAAGAGATTCTCAGCTCTCATTACTCTGGAAAACACATCTTGAAGGTTAGAAATCTTAGATCCAGATAAGATTTGAGAGCGAACTGTGTTGTACTCAGGTGGAAGACTAGTAAGAAAGCTCATAATAGCCATTTGCTCTCGTTGCTTATGTTGAACCTTCAAATCAGCAGTAAGAGGCATCAACACATTCAGCTCTTCATACATCCTCTTAAAGTCCGTAAAATAGGCTTTGAGAGGGTGATCCTATTTTTCAAGACGATAAAAAGCTTTGCAAACCTTGTAAACACGAGAGATATTTCCTTTTCCTGAATACAAAAAATCTGAATAATCCATTAGTTCTTTAACCAATTCACAGTGATTAATAGAAGGAATAATCTCACTGTCAATGGAGTTACGAATCTGGAAAAATAGTCGTGCATCAGCTCGCAACCAGGCCTTTTTTGAATCAGTCGTTGGAGGATCATCAGTCAAATGATCTTCCTTCTCAATGCTCCGCAAATAGAGACAAATGGTTTTACTCCAATCCAAATAATTTACCCAAGTCAACTTGTGATCAGTAATTTTAGTAACAGTTGGGACAAGCTTCGAGACAGATTTAATTTCAACCATAGATGAAATGCACTAACCAAAAGGAATGCAAAAGATTGTCAAACAGGGACACAAAGCACAATACCTGGATCACCTAACGAATACCAAAGCAGTGAAACAGGCCAACAGCTACACAGGGAGCTGCAAACAAAACTGAATGGCACAAACGGAGTGCTGGAGACGTGCCAGAAATAGAACAGAACGCCGAAAAGCCAATGAACAGTGCAAAACACCATAAAACTGATTAACAGTGCACCACGCCATACCCACACTAAGGAAGTACCACAATCTTGTTGGAAATGAGGTTTTACCGTCAGTCATTGAAGTCGCTGGTGAAAAGGGCGTCTCACGCGTCTTCACGCGTCGGTGCGTGAAATTCCAGTGAACTTGCAGGAGGCACGTGAGAGTCACGCGCCGGTCGGATGGCTGTTAGATTTCAGGGGTTGGTCGATCCGGAGGAGGGAAGAAGGTTGGGCAGGGCAGTGTCACCAAAGGGAGCATCGTGAAGGGGTCACAAGCTCACACGGTAAGTTTTGGTACTATAGCAACCGAAAATTATCAACCAGAGAGAGAAAAATACTCACGCTCTGATACCATATAGATTATAGAATGATATGGAAAATAATTCCTTGTATTTCATTGATTAGAATATGCACATATATATACAAGTGAGGGGAGCCTTTGCATTAATGGCTCATTATGATAATATCATATCATATCAAATCCTAATCATAATTACATAATATCATATCATATCTCTACATCATCAAAAATGGCTCAGCACATGAGGTGGCATGTGACTGAGAAAAATCCAGACGACAAATTAAGGCACCCACGAGATTCGGAGGCATGGAAAACATTTGATGCGAAATTTTCAGACTTTACCAGTGATCCTAGAAATGTATATCTTGCGTTGGCAATTGAAGGTTTTAATCCCTTCGAAAATATGAGCACAAGTTACAGCATCTGGCCGGTGGTGTTAATTCCATACAATCTACCACCTTGGATGTGCATGAAGCTGTGTTCCTTTTTGCTTTCCATGGTCATTCCTAGCAAGAAAGTACCGGGAAATGATATAGACATATACCTACAACTGTTGATACACGAATTGATCGACTTGTGGACGAATGGTGTTGAGACATATGACTCATATGACAAGCAACTATTCAATCTCTGTGCAGCCTTGATGTGGACAATAAGTGATTTTCTCGGTTTGGGAACTTTGTCCGGCTGGAACGTGCATACTGGGTTGGCCTATCCTGGGTGCAATTTTGATGCTGTATCATGTTGCCTTCCACACAGTCGCAACTAGTGCTTCATAGGACATCAATGGTTCCTCGATTCCAAGCACAAATTTAGATTGCAACGGATTCGCTTTGATGGAAAACAGGAGAAGAGAGATCCTCCTGTTACTTTGTCTAGTGTGGATATTTTGCGGCAGTTAGAAGATGTTGATGTCGAGTTTGGCAAGAATGTGGATCCCGAATGACTGGGACGATGGTCTCGTGGGACATCTTATGCGCAACCTATGCAATGGCGGAAGAGAAGCATATTTTTCACTCTTCCTTATTGCGAATCTAATTTGCTACGACATAGTTTGGATGTTATGTACATTGAAAAAAATGTGTGCGATAATGTGCTATATATATTGCTCAAC